TCCTCCTCCTCCCGCCTCCTGGCCGCCTCCACCCTGGCCCTCTCCGCCCTCACGGCCGCCAGCACCTCTCCTCCGCGGCTCAGCCGGATCTCCCGTCCCCTCCACCTCAGGTGCGTCGGCGGCTCCTCGGGCCCGTCGCCGAAGGCCAGGCCGGCGCTCAGCTCCTGCGCCAGCGCCGAGCGCAGCAGCCCGGCGCCGCCGAGCCGCGCGGGCGCCGGGTGATAGAGCCGCCCGCTCTCGGGCAGCAGCGCCAGCGCCGCCGGCTCGAAGGGCACGGCCAGCGCCGCGCCGGCGCCGCACAGGGCCAGGCGGGCGCCGGGCTGCGGGTCGGTGGGCACCGCCTCGGTGGGCTGCCCTACGATGGGCGCCACCTCGGTGGGCGGCCCCACGTTGGGCGCCACCTCGATGGGCTGCCCCACATTGGGCGCCAACTCGATGGGCTGCCCCACAGTGGGCGCCATGTCGGTGGGCGGCCCCACGATGGGCGCCACCTCGATGGGCTGCCCCGCAGTGGGCGCCACGTTGGTGGGCGGCCCCACGATGGGCGCCACCGCGATGGGCGGCCTCACGATGGGCGCCATGTCGGTGGGCACCGCCTCGGCGGGCAGCAGCTCGGTGAACACGGCGGGCACGTCGGCGCAGCGCAGGAAGTTGCGCTCGCCGCCGCAGCGCCACAGGAAGGGGAAGCGCGCCTCGAAGCGCCCGCTGCGGTTCGGCTGCAGGCGGCCGAAGAACGACGACAGGAAGGCGACGTCTGCAATGAGAGAGGAAAATTGGGAATTTGGGGATTTTTGGGATTTTTTTGGGATTTTTTTGGGGTGTTTTGGTGGTTTTTTTGGTGGTTTTTTACGTTTTTTTGGTAATTTTTTGGTGGTTTTTATGGGGATTTTTGGGATGTTTTGGGGGATGTTTTGGGGTTTTTTTCTGTTTTTTGGGGGATTTATGGGGATTTTCTGGGGGTTTATTTGGCGTTTTTTGGGATTTTTTTGGGGATTTTTTCGGGATTTTTTTGGGTGCTTTTTCAGATTTTTTATGGGGATTTCTTGAGGTTTTTTAGGGATTTTTTATTTTTTTGGGGGTTTTTTGGGTTTTTTTGCGGTTTTTTGGGGGATTTCTTGGGATTTCTTAGGGATTTTTTGGGGGTTTTTTTGGGGATTTTTTTGCAGTTTTTTGTGGTTTTTTTGGGATTTTTTTTTGCTTTTTTTTAGTGATTTTTTTGCGGTTTTTTGGTGGTTTGTTTTGCGCTTTTCGGGAGGTTTTTAGGGGTTTTTTTGTGATATTTTTGGGGTGTTTTGCTGCTGATTTTGGGATTTTTTGGTGCTGATTTTGAGCCGCAGCGCCACACGCAGGGGAAGCGCCCGAAGCGCCGCTGCGGTTCGGCTGCAGGCGGCCGAAGAACGACGACAGGAAGGCGACGTCTGCAAGGAGAGGGGAGAATTGGGAATTTGGGGATTTTTAGGGATTTTTTTGGGATTTTTTTGGGGTGTTTTGGTGGTTTTTTTGGTGGTTTTTTACGGTTTTTTGGTAATTTTTTGGTGTTTTTTTGGGATGTTTTGGGGGATTTTTTGGGGGTTTTTTCTGTTTTTTGGGGGATTTATGGGGATTTTCTGGGGGTTTATTTGGCGTTTTTTGGGATTTTTTTTGGGATTTTTTTGGGATTTTTTTGGGTGCTTTTTCGGATTTTTTTTTTGGGATTTCTTGGGGTTTTTTAGGAATTTTTTTGAATTTTTGGTGAGTTTTTTGGGATTTTTTGGGGGGATTTCTTGGGATTTTTTTGGGGGTTTTTTTGGGGTTTTTTTGGGATTTTTTTTGCAGTTTTTTGTGGTTTTTTTGGGATTTTTTTTTGCTTTTTTTTGGTGATTTTTTTGCGGTTTTTTGGTGGTTTGTTTTGCGCTTTTCGGGAGGTTTTTAGGGGTTTTTTTGCGTTTTTTTGGGGTGTTTTGGTGCTGATTTTGGGCCGCAGCGCCACACGAAGGGGAAGCGCCCGAAGAACGAGGACGGGAAGGGCTGGAAAGAGATGGAAAAATTGGGAATTTGGGGATTTTTGGAGATTTTTTTTATTTTTTGGTGGTTTTTTGGGATTTTTTTGCG